CCTGCCTGGCTTGGCCTCTGGCCTGCCACGGGATCCCAGTCCTGCTGGCTCTGTTCCTGCCTTCAAAGTACAGGGAGGCTCAGCCAGTGGCCTGAGAGGCATGGCTCTTAGGGGCTGCGAGGGCCTCCATTTACTCAGGGCACTGTGCCCTGGGGAGCCTGTCCCCATGAAGGCAGGAGCTGGAGATGGACTTTGGTTCTGTGGGTCCCTCCCCCGGCCCCCCGCAGCAGATGCCCCTGGGTTCTGACTCCCTCCCACAGTAGGATCTTTATGGACACTCCACTGGCCCCCAGGGGGTGGGCTGGAGCCCTAAGGCAAGTTCACTGTACACCAGCCTGGCCCCGGCAGCCTCCGATCCAGGTGGCCCCAACCAAGCCCTTTCCCCTCTCTGATCCCCACCCCACGCCACTGCCCCTTCCCTAAAGAGGTACTAGCGGCTACTCGGCTACTCGCAGAATTTCTCCCGGGCTGGGCACAGCGCAAGCAGCCGGAGATGAAAGGTGAAGGTACTCCCCATCCTCGGGGAGGGCTCGGGCCCGTCTGCGGAGGCGGTAATTATCATCGGAGCTAACACTAACATTCATTGCGTGCAAGGCTAAGTACTTAACACCACCTCATTTCATGTGCACAACTCTGTAAGGAATAATGGCCCTTTTAACTCAACCAAGCCTGTTTGCTCATCTGATGACCGACCTGCCCAGGGTCACAAGGCTCAGGAGTGAGGAGTGTCGAGGTGCCAGCCAGGACATGAGCTCACGGCCATGCTCTAGACCCCCCGAAATCTACTGCCCCACAGAGATTAAGAACCTTGAGGAATTGGGGAGCCATGGGGGGGAACCCCAGAGGAGTGCCTTCACCCAGCAGAGGCCCAAGGTCAGGAGGACAACCAAGGCGGGGGGTCTTCCTGCAGGAAATGGGAGAGTGAGCCCTAACAAAATTTCAACGGCATTTTTCACAGAACTAGAACAAATAATTCTAAATCGGCTGTGGAACTGCAGAAGATCTCAAACAGCCAAAGCAACCTTGAGAACAAAGTCGTCGTCCGAGGTATCACGCTCCTGAATTTCTGACTATACTACGAAGCTGAAGTGATCAAAACAGTTAAGTTAGCGTAAAACTAAATACACAGATCAATGGAACAGAACAGAGAGCCCAAAACCAACACGCATTTGGTCAAGAGATGTGCCAACGGAGGCGACAGGAACACGCAACGGGCAGACCGTCTCTGGGACAGGTGCTGCTGGGGAAACCGCACGGTTCCCGCACCACGGACACACCCGGACCGCCTTCTCACAGCACGCGCGAAATAAACTCAAAATGGATCGGAGACTTGCGTGCAAGACGGGAAACCCGAAAACTTTCGGCAACAAGTCTTGGCGGTGACCTGACTTCCACACCGGAAGTAAAGGCAGCACACGCGGAAACAAAACAAAGGGAGACTGCAGCAAAGTAAACACTTCTGCACCATGAAAGTGACAATCAGCAGGAAAAGGCAGGCCCCGGAATGGGAGAAGAGACCTACAAATCACGTCCCCAGTAAGGAGAGGATACCCAGAGCACATGAAGAACTCCTACACCTCAACAGCAAACCAAGAGAAATTTGGTTAGAAACTTGAATAGACATTTTCCATGGAAGAGACACACAAATGACCAACAGACACACGGGAGGTGCTCAGCGCCTCTCATGCCCAAGAACATGCCGATGGAAACGACCAGCGGTCGTACCTGACACCTGTCAGATGGCCAAAACCCACAGCGTGAGAACAGGTGTTGGCCAGGATGTGGGGAGAGGGGAACCCTCGTGCGCTGTCGGTGGGAATGCAAACGGAGGCAGCCGCTCTGGAAAAGGCTGGCGTTTCCTCAAAAAATTAAACTAGAAACTACCCCACCACGGTGCAGCAGTTCCAGGGCTCGGTATTCAACCACAGAAAACAAAAACACAAATTCGAAAACATATATCCCCCCCCCCCACCCCGTTCACTGCCCCACTGTGTACGGGAGCCGAGACCCGGACGCAGCCTGAGTGTCCGTGAACAGACGAGGGATGAAGACGATGGGATCTCCCCAAGCGGAAACTACTGAGCCGCGAGGAGGAGCGGAGCCCGCCAACGCCACGGAGGGACCCTCACTGAAGAAGTCAGACCAACAAAAACACCGCGTGATTCCACTTACGCAGGCCCTCTGAAGACACAACCGAACCACACCCAGACTCGAAGACAAAACCAACCCAGACTGGTGGTTGCCAGAGCCGGAGGGGTACAGAGGGAGGGGCGAGGGGGATCCTAAGTCCAAATCAACAGTGACGCGTGAGGGAGGGACGGGAATGTCAAGTGCCGCAAGGAGACTAGAGCCCACAAAACTGCACTAACCTTGTGCTGCGACCCACCGGAAACGTACATAATGGTGTATGTCAACCACGCTTCAATGAAACAAACATGGGGCGCCTGGGGGACTCAGTGGGTTAAGCCTCTGCCTTCGGCTCGGGTCATGATCCCACATCCTGGGATCGAGCCCCGTGTCAGGCTCTCTGCCTGCCTCTCTGCCTACTTGTGATCTCTCGCTCTATCAAATAAATAAAATATTTTTTAAAAAAAGACACAAACAAACAAGAGCCAGTCGGGCAGAGGAAGGACGGACAGACCGAAGGACGGACACCTAGGCAGGGCAGGAGCTGTCGAATGCTGGTGAGTGAGGGAAAATGGCTCATTAATGCCAAGTTCACGAGTCCAAAAACAGAAGGAACTGGAGGAATCCCCAGCCCCCAGTGGAAATGGGAATGAGCTAAAGTGCCCTGGAGGGTCAGCCTAGGAGACCTGGTGCTGTCTGTTCCCTGGCCCTCATCACCTCCTCTCCTCCAAGTCCTCCAGGCCTCCAGGCCTCCCTGCCGCCCTGGCCAGAAGCTTCCCCCACTGGTTTCAGGGCCCACGGTTTCTCTCTTCAGAAATCCTTTTCTCTTGTCCGGGATGGCCGAGTAGCACACTGGGCACCTCTTAACATCCCAGATCTCCTTTAAATGTCACACCCTCTCTGCCAAACACGATGACTGTGCCCATTCTGCAGATTCAGAAAAGTTGAGTCCGCAGCCCAGAGGGTCTGGACCCCTCCTCCAGGCAGCTCTGCAAGCCAGGGTAAGTTTCCCAGCCTTCTCCACCTGGGGCCAGGTGCCCAGTGAGTACTGTTAAGGAGGTAGGGGACACTCAGGGGAGGGGAAGGAAATGGAGCCCGCCTAGGTAGCAGGGTGTGGCCAAGACACTTGCCCTCTAGGGAGGGGCAGGACCAGGTGATCACCGAGACCCCCCTGAGTGCACGGGTGTAGAGAGGACGCTCCACAGGTCAGACCCAGTGCCGGGTTACTGTCCACCTCCCAGCAGAAAACCACGAAAGTCACCCACCCACCCAGGGACACCAGCCAGGGTAAGCCACAGAAGAGCACAGTCCCACACTAACCATGCTGCGTATCTGGGGTCTGAAAGCCTTAGAAGTAACAGGATGGATATCTCATAGTCTTGGAGTGGGGCGGGACACCAAAGAGAAAACTCTATAAAGAAAAAAAGCCAATCTTAAGGGCCTGTCTTCAGCTCAGGTCATGATCCCAGGGGTCCTGGGATCGAGCCCCACAATCATGCTCCCTGCTCAGCGGGGATCCTGCTTCTCCCTCTCTCCCTCTACCCCTTGCCCTGCTTGTGCTCTCTCGCCCTCAAATAGAATCTTAAAGGGGGGGGGGGATCCATTTGAATGCAGTTTAAAAAAAAAAATGAAAAGCGAAGCTTCTGTGAGAGCAAAAGGGAGAAAATACATGCAACACGTAAGAAAAGTTAAATCCTGCTGTACAAAGAGCTCTAACCAACAAGTAAGAGACCAACCCAAGAGAACAAAGAAAAAAATTAAAGTGGCCAATTAAACTTTGGAAACAATCATCCCCAAACTGCAAATTAAACATAATAAAATAGCACATGTCGCCTAGTCAATCTAATGAAAAGGTTTGCCAACCCCAGGTGTAGGCGAGGGAGTGTGGAAACCATGACCCCGCCATTTCTTGGGAGGGAGAGTAGCCTGTCCAGGCTGCTGCACACCCTGGGGACCATGGGGACGGTTTGGTGGCATCTAGTGAAAACCAGGCCGGAGGGGACCCCTGGGTGGCTCAGATGGCTGGGTGTCTGCCTTCAGCGGGGGTCATGATCCTGAGGCCCTGGGATCAAGCCCCACATCGGACTCCCTGCTCAGCGGAGAGTCTGTTTCTCCCTGTCTGCCTCTGCCTCTCCCAAATGATAGTTAAAAAAACAAAAAACCCGCGGAGTCGAGAGCCCAGTTCCCCGTAGTCCCCAGCAAGGAGACTGTACATCCCCAGTCTAAAAGCCACCCCTGGCGTGACTGACCATAACTACGTTGGCAAAAACGACTTTGGAGGACACTAAATGACAGGAGGAGCGGCCACCACGTACTAAGCTATAAAATACAGGTTTGAAGAGACAAAAAGCATTTTGGGGCATAATCTCTTTTTTCTTAAGTCGTATCTCTCGTTGCGCGCTTGCTTCCTTCCAGGCGTTCGTCGCGCCCTGACCCGGGTGAGCTCAGCGGGCTCTACCTTGGCGGGCAGGACGGCGCATCCCGTACACGGACGGTCCCCGGGAACGGACCCTTGCCCCGCCCGGTCCCCGCCCCACGACCGGCTCGAGGCCCACCACGGGGACACTGCGGCTGAGGCGCGCTCCCCAGGCGCACGGATCCGGGCTGGGGTCCTCGGATCCTGGACTCCAGGTCGCAGCCCGAGATGCGACAGCAGGTTCCAACCCGGGCGGGAGGGACCCTTGGGGACCCGGGCCGAAGACCCCTGGGCGGAGGGGGAAGTGGCGCTCCCACCCTCCGTGAAGCAGGGGCCGAGGAGTGCCCGCTGGAGATCGGGGCCGGCGCCACAGGGACCGCGGGGCTCGGACTGGCCCGCGCCTTCCGACGGCCCCGCGGGTCTGCCCCACCCGCGGCAGGGGCCGTGCCGCGCTCACCGAGCATCTCTTTGCGGCGCTGCGTGTGCGGCTGGTCGGTGTAGACCCACTCGAAGTCGGTGCGGCCCGCGCGGTTGCCCATGCTGGGGCCGGGAGCGCAGCTCGGAGCGCGTCGCACCACTGGGCTCCTCTCCACCTGTCTGCCCCGCCGCGCGCCGGGCGGACCCGAGTGCGGCTCGGGGCGGGGCCGGGGGCGGGGCCTCTCGCGGGGCGGGGCCAGGTGCGCCCGGGGGGCGAGGGGGCGGGGCCCGCGGGGCAGGGGCGCGGTCCAGATCTGGGGCGGGTGGCGGCGGCTCCCCAGCCTCGGTCGCGTCGGCGGGACGTGGAACTATTCGCGCGCCGCCCGCGGGAGTCCCCGGGCCCCAGGTCGTGCGGGGACGGCCCGGTGCGCTCGTTGCCCCCACCCCGCCTGGCTCGCCCGCGACCGGTCGTCGGAGCATCGGTTCTCCCCGCGGCCCAGACGCACGGGCGCGCCCGCTGCCCCTGCCTGGGGGACGAGCCGGGTTAGCACCCACCTGGGGTGGGGATAGGGGCCAAGAGGCTAGAGATTAAACGCCTGTGACAGTGCCTGTAAACAGGAGGTGCTAGGAGAGATTCACCACGGCGGCAATGCTGCCTTCCCCTACCTGTCCCCTACCCGGCCCTCCCACGCAACGCAGTGGGCAGATGATGGGTCTGTGGCAACCTGAGGGAGGTGAGTCAGCCCCACCCCTACCTTCAGGAAAATCGAGGGACACGGGGACACGGAAAAGGCCTATTATGACTCAGTGTGAGACGTGCCATGACACAGGGAGGGGTAGCCAGGATCCCGCACGGGAGTCTTTTGCACTGGGCTTTGAAGGATGAGTAGGAGTCAGCAGCTAGACAAGGGAAGGGCACTGGTGGAGGAGGGAACAGCAGATGCCAAAGGCTCAGAAGCTTAGAAGAACCCTGACATTTTTTAAATAATAAGAGTCCAGGAGTGGGGGCACAGGGCTCCTCATTTTCACCTTTTCAGGGATTCCTCTCACCCCTCCAGAGCTTTGGAGGGTGTGGAACAGTTCACCTTTCTAGACCTTGGAGAGCCTGGCCTGTGCTGGGAGATGCCTGGGTAGCAGACTGGCCTGGTAGCCAGTCTGGGCAGGGAGGTAATAAGGGTGAGTTTTCCTCCAGCCTCCTGAAGTCCATGGCCCAGGGGTGTGGTACACTTGGCAGGCCTCCCTTAGCCCCAGGCCAGATGCCGTCCCACCCAAGCGGGAGAGTAAAGCAACTGTGTGTGAACGTGAGTGGTGGATCAGGTGTAGGGAAATGGGCCTGCAGGAGGCTGGATTCCCAGTCCAACAGAAAGACCCTCAGAGCCTAGCATTGCCACCAGCCCTTGAAGCACCCAACCGGGTCACCTGGCCCAGCCTGCACAGCCTCGAAAACAGAACTCACTGCTCCCCAGGGCAACCTGTTCTATTCCCAGCCAAAGGGACCCTCCCACCAGCTGGTGCTTTACGGGTGAGCAAACCAAGGCTCAGAGCTCAAGAGGGCCTTGCCTAACCACACAAGAATAAGGCAGCAAAGCAGGGAGAGGCCCCGATCTTCAACTTGAAAAGCCCAGAGGCAGCGTGTCTGCCCCCATATTGCCCTCAGTGAGATCTGTCTCAGCTCTGCCCTCTGGAATCCCATCCCACCTGCCAGATCCCTCCACCCCAGGATGGGGATCAGAAAACTTCATTCACACACTGACCCCAGGACTCAGCCTGTCCAGATGAAAATAGCCCAGTGCCTCCATTTTACAGATAAGGAAACTAAGGCCAAAGAGGGGACAAGTCAAAGGACATACTAGAGAGACAGGAGGGTAGAACAGGAGTTCAACATACATGACTCTCAATCCTGTGCCATGACCAAGAAATTCCCAAGTCCCTGAGGCAGGCCTGAACCAGAGAAACGGAATTCAAGATGGTGGCCTCGATCACAGCACACACCCCAGCCACAGCAATGACAGAGAAGGTGTGTTTGTCTGTAAGGTGGGTTCCTGGGAGGGATCCTGGACCAGAAAAAGGGCATTAGGTAAAAACTTAGAGAATGTGAATAAAGTATGAGCTTCAGTCAATTATAATGTACCAATAGTGATTCACTAATTACAACAAACGCACCATACTATTACAAGATCTTAAAATGAAGGATGATGGGTGTGGAAGCTATGTGAACTCTTAATACTATCTTCCCAGTATTTCTACAGATCATAAAGTTTATTTTTAAAATGAAGTTCAGTGTGGGCACCTGGGGGGCTCAGTGGGTTAAGCCTCTGCCTTTGGCTCAGGTCATGATCCCAGGGTTCTGGGGTAGAGCCCTGCGTCGGGCTCTCTACTCAGCGGGGAGCATGCTTCCCCCTCTCTCTCTGCCTGCCTCTCTGCCTACGTGTGATCTCTCTCTCTGTGTCAAATAAATAAATAAAATTTTTTAAAAAAATCTTTAAAAAAATGAAGTTCATTGTTCAAAAATCTTTATCATACACTGTATGTATAGCCACTCCTCTGTGATTCCCCCCAACACAAGAACCTTCCCTGCCCCCATTTCTCCTGGGAGGAGCAGCAGCATGGGGGGGGGCAACAAGCACACCTGAGGGGGAGGTAGGTTCACTGACTCTCAGGAGGGACCCTGACTGTAAGCCTAGGTGTCTTCCACTGCTTGGGAGGAGCACAGGGTACCTACACCCAGAAGTCTTAACTGTAGTATTTGCCGTCCCAGAAGGAAACCCTCTCCTGCCCCAGGTTTGCACATTCCCAGGAACAGGCCAGAATGCATTCGGTACAGCCCCTCCCACTCCTGTTCTGAACCCGAGGGAAGCTAACAGCCCGTGACTCACAGCTCACGGTCAGCCCACACAAGAGGGAGTCACATCCCGGGGGGCAGGGGGCAACCACCCCAAGAAAGAGAAGAATGTCCCACCTGGGAAAACAGAGCTATGGGAAAAGCAGAATTGGGCTGAGAAATGAGAATGACATTTTCATTTCAGGAGACACACAAAGCCATCGAGTAAATAAATAAATAAGCCAGAGAGGGGCAGGTGTAAGTGGCTTGTTTAAAAGCAAAACTTCGCTTAGAAGAAAACACAGGCAGGAAGCTCTTGGCAGTACTGGCAGTAAGGGGGGGCGGTCTCCCCAGGCAAGGGCAGCAAAAGTTAAAAAAACCAAATGGGATTGCATCAAACAAAAAATCTTCTGCTCCAGTGAGACATCAGCAAAACGAGAAGGTAGCGTGGTTAGTGGAAGCCGATATTTGCAAGTAATACGTCGGATAAGGGGTTTGTAGACAAAATATAGAAAGAATTTATACAACTTAATATTTAAAAAGGGGCAGAGGACCTAAATAGACATTTTCCCAAAGAAGACAGGCTTGCGGCCAACAGGACACAAAAAGATGCGTCATCAAGGAAATGCAAATCAAAACCACAATGAGAGATCACCTGGCACCTGTCACAGACAGCAGGACCAAAAGACTGAAAGTAACAAGTCTTGGCGAGGGTGTGGACAGAAGCGAACCCTCCCGCATTGCTGGCAAGCATGTAAACTGGTGCAGCCACTGTGGAAAACAGTGTGGAGGTTCCTCAAAAAATTAAAAATAGAGCTACCCTATGATCTAGTATTCCCACTTGTGGAATTTATCTAAAGAAAAGAAGATACTTTTTTTTTTTTTTGGAGAAAAAGAAAGACCACATGGGGTGGTGGTTAGAGGAGGAGGAAGGGAGAGAATTTCAAGCAGACTCCCCGCTCAGCATGAGCCATACACGGGGCTCGATCTCACAACCCTGGGATCATGACCAGAGCCGAAACCAAGAGTCAGACACTTAACCAACTAATCACCCACGCACCCAAGAAAACACCAGTTTGAAGAGATACATACATCCCACTCTGCAGCATTATTTGTAATAGCCAAGATCTGTAAATAGCCTAAGTGTCCACGGACGGATGATGGATAGAGACGTGGGACACACACACAGTGGAATATTAGCCTTGAGAATGAGATCTTGCCAGGGCGCCTGCGTGGCTCAGTGGGTTAAAGCCTCTGCCTTCGGCTCAGGTCATGATCCCAGGATACTGGGATCGAGTCCCGCATCGGGCTCTCTGCTCAGCAGGGAGCCTACTTCCTCCTCTCTCTGCCTGCCTCTCTGCCTACGTGTGATCTCTCTCTCTCTCTCTCAAATAAATAAATAAAATCTTTAAATAAATAAATATTTAAAAAAAATTAAAAAAAAAAATAATGAGATCTTGCCATTTGCAACAACATGGACGGACCTAGGGGGTATTACGCTGAGTGAAAGAAGTCAGAGAGAGAAAGAGACATATGGAAGATTTTGTTTCCAAGCGGAATTTAAGAAACAAAACAGAAACAGATTCACAGATACAAGAAAGAAACCCCATTAGTTGCTGGAGGGGAGGGAGACTGGAGGGTGGGCAAAAGAGCGAAGGGGATTAAAAGGTACCCACCGGCTGGGACGCACAGAAGCTGTGGGGATGTCACGTAGAGCACAGAGAACAGTCAGTAATACTGTCCTGACTGTGTGGTGACAGACAGTAACTGGACCTATCGCGGGGATTGTTATGTTTCAAAATATTGAATCACAGGGCTCCTGGGTGGTTTAGGCAGTTAAGCCTCTGCCTTCGGCTCAGGTCACGATCGCAGGGTCCTGGGATCAAGTCCCACACCGGGCTCCCCGCTCAATGGGGAGCCTGCTTCTCCCTCTCCCTCTGCTGCTGCCCCTCTCGTGTGCACTCTCTCTCTCTCTCAAATAAATAAAATCTTTAAAATTTTTTTAAAAAAGTTAAAAAAATATATCAAATCCCTACAATGTAAACCCAAAACTAGCAGGATGTTGTGTGTCGATCATGCTTCAATTAAAAAAAACAATGTTCTGGGGCTCCTGGGTGGCTCAGTGGGTTAGGCCTCTGCCTTCAGCCCATGTCATGATCTCAGGGTCCAGGGATCGGGCCCCGCGTCGGGCTCTCTGCTCAGTGGGGAGCCTGCTTCCCCCTCTCTCTCTGCCTGCTGCTCTGCCTACTTGTGATCTCTCTCCCTCTGTCAAATAAATAAATAAAATCTTTAAAAAATAAA